AGCCCTAGGAAACTGAATTTACTGGGAGATGGAGTTTCAAGATAAAAAGGGAGAGATGTATCAGCACATGTTCATACCACCATTTTGCATTGAATATAATGCAAGTTGGAAAAGAAAATTGGCAAACGGATCTTAGGTGTCTGTTGCATGTACCAAAACCAGGTTAACTGACACTAGAAAAGGACATTGCTCAAAAAGCTCTGGGATGAGCATGGAAAGAGGTACTGCAGAAGCCAGTTACAAAATTTATTCTCTCCCAAGGACAAGGAGAGCCTTACCTAAGCACCTTGGAAGCAGGTGGGATGTATGGATAGGGGGATCCTTCTGCTGGAAGAGTGAGTGTCACAGGAAAAGCATGAAAGGGTGGAGAGTCTCACTCTGGAACAAGCAATATCCTAGAGAGGTTAGAGCACAGATGGACCGAAACTAAAAAGAAATTTGGACATCTGGAAGAAGGGCTTCACAAAGCAGATATTTAGAAGCACAAAGGCACATGTGTGAGCCAATATCCACAGACTCCTGAACTCTGCAACAGGCCTGTGATGTTTCTTGAAAGCGAAACTTTCAGTGACTGCCTAACCTTGGAGGCAGAGAGACTTACTCAGGCCTTTCCTGTTTTTACCTGTAATTTCACTATTCTTGTAATTCTGAGTGTGCTCAGACTTCCCACAGTCTGTGCAGCTTGGTGCCTACCTCTTCTTCGCCAAGCTCCACTTACTTGGAGGAGCTGTGGCAGCAAAATCACAGTAGCATTCCCCTAGGTGACTTGAGTAACAGCAGAGCAAGACCAGCATGTGCACTTCCATACAGGCTGCACCAACCACAGTGAGAGCCTGTGGACGAACCAGTGGGGGCGACAGGAGGGAATTTAAAAGGTCCTGGGTTTCACTGTGCATAGGAGGGCAGACAAGAAGGCTGTTATAAAGGTGAAAGCTAGCTTTTGTTGCAATCTGGCATTGAAAAAGTACCTCTCTATCCTGAATAACTCCTTGCCTTCTCAGATCCCTTCATCAATAGGCGAAGGGCCAATGACTTCATACAGGCTGACACGAGACTAGGAGCCATCACTCAGGAGAGGTATGTTATGGACTAAGGACACTGAGGATGGGAGTGGGGAGAGGTTCCTCCTTGCCAAGCCCAGGCTGGTACCAGAGGTGGCAGCCATAGTGACTTCTGAGAAGCCTCAGTCCCTCTCTCAATGTGAGGTATCCCTGAAGTCCCCAGTCCTGGGAGAAGCAAGAATTCAGATAACAGAGAACACGTCCTTTGGTTTGGGGACGTGTCATGTTCTGGGAGGACTCTGATTAATTCTTCTAAAGGAAACACCAACAGAAGGAGAGGGAATGAGTGTGGGATGATCAGAAAGAAAGCTCAGTTTGAGATCTTATTCTAGTCCTCAGATCTCAAGCAGAATTTGGATGACCTTTTCTAAATCACAGGGCCATCTGAGGGCCTCCTTGCCTCCTCTATAAAATATGGATATAGGCAATTTTATGCGTCATGCAAAGCTTGTGAAAATTAAGACTGAAGCACAGAAATCATCTCTTAGTGAGGCATCAAAGCAAACCTCCTCAGTACCAGGTGGCCCCTTTGCATGATGTTTTAGGTCTTTGTTCCATGTGTGGTTTTGGGGAAGAGCTGAAGGGAGTAGGCTGAGGTAGGCTGCAAAGGGAGGACCCTTCCTCAGACTGAGGCAGGAACCATTCCCCTCTCCCTACCACCTTACTTAGCCCTGAAAAAAAAGATTGCCTGGGGAGGCAAAACGTTCCTACTGTAGTCACATCACTGCCTGAGTGTAGTAAACACAGGAGCTGGTGTGCCAAGATCTTTGTAGCTGGATAATGGACTCTGGTGACGGACTCTTAATCCTGGTTGGGAGCTATGGTGCATGAAAAGGCTGTAGGCAGATATTTGGGATGACAGCACTTACCCCTCATCTCTCCTACTTTTACAGGATCAGGGAGCGTACTAAGGCACCCCATGAACGTCAGAGGGAGATCTGCGAGGACTACTACCCTTGTGAACTGTACGCTTATCGCCATGGCTATGCTGCTGCTTACAGGCACTATTTTGGGAAGAGGAGGACTAAGTAATGGATGACCTGCCCCTATCCTGGGGCCTGGATCCAGGGTATCCTCCCAAAAAATGCAATGGCTCTGAAACATATGCAGTTGCTTGTGTCCCTGTATGTTATCCAGCCTGCTGCTTCTCTCCCATGTAGCCATGGATTCCTACACTGTGTTAATTAGTGCTGAGCTGATGTAGCAGAGATCAGAATGAATTCAGGATGTGGGTGTTTACTACACAATAAATTGCTGGTTTGATACTATCTTCTCATGAGTCAGAGTATTTTTAAAGGGGGTGTGTAATTTTCCATGAAGAAGCTGAGTTTGTTTATCAGATTCTGGGGAAAAAATTACTACCTTGCAATCATAAGAGTTTGAAAGGATCTACAGTGTTTTTGTTGAGGGGTCTACAAGTTGCTTCTTTCAGAGGTCACTGGCCAATCTCAGCTCCCAGTCTTAAGACATCTTATAATGCTATGGTGTTCAGAAGGCACTTTTTGAAAATAAAATCTGTAATATCTTTCATCAGTTGGGAAAACAAAATTTAGAAGGCATCTATTTAATCTTAAAAACAAAGTTAGAGTGAGGGTTGATGACAGAAAATGCCTGTAAGTTTCTTCTTGTTTATCCAGTTACCATCAGGTCATGATGTAGGGTACTCCTGTAGAAAGGAGTGTGTGGTTCAGACTTAACTCATATTTCCTTTTGCAATCCCCTTTCAAAACCCTTACTTCCACTTGGAATGATTCCAGTAGCACTAGAAAGCTGCAGAAACCAAAGGTGGAGAGGGGTCTTGGTGGCAAAAAAACAAATAAAAGAAACCCAGGTTTTGGGGTCAGGCCCAATTTTGTTTGTATAGAACAATTCAGTTTTACTGTTCACAAATTGTTTGAAACCAAGGTGTGTTAACCCTGTGCACTTGTTACTGAGCACCTCCTGGACCACTGAGGAGTGAGCACGACTGCAGTTGGGTTGTCACCACCACCATCGCCGGGGCACATTACAGAGCCTGTCCCCAGACCAAACAGCACCAGTGCTGACATGCCCAAGAATTCAGTACTGTTCTGGGCTGGTCAGCAGACACGGCAGCTGGGACACTCCTTGGTGTGTGATGTGTAGGGGACATAACATCTATCTTAGCTCAGCACAGATGGTTTGAACATTTACATCTCCAGGCTCACACTGTCACCTGCAAATTACAGAAGTGGGAAAGGTTCATGACATGCTATCAAAGGCTATGAGGTATAAAGTATCAAGTTGTTGACTAATCTGTGAAATAAAGTCTAGAGCCAAATCTACCTGGCACATTATAAATATGTGTCTTTTTCCAAAATGTGCCTCAGAGCTTTGCCAGCTTTGAAATTGAACCTTTGGAAAGAAATGTGATTGATTTATTTATTGAAAACCCTTCTGATAGGAAACTCCATCCTGCCAGTTGCTAAAGTTTTGTCCAGGGGAAAAAGTGAGAGATAAATGCATTTAAGGAAAAAAACCTATTTGGATTAGGTATATTCACACCCACGCTTGCTCTGCGTGTTCCCAAGGAAGTAAATCTTATAATCACCAACTGGAGCATACCCTAAAATCAACAAGTCTGCAGTGTCTGAGTTTGACTTGACACTGTGACACTACCAAAACAGAAGACACAGGGCTTGTGCTGTCTGAGTCTGTGTCCAGAAATATCTTGCGATTCCAACCTCCAGTTAAGCAGTATAAATATTGAATAATACCAGAGATTTCTGTGGGATTTCATTAGTGTGAGCAACAACCTAACAGTTTTAAGAGACTACATGCTGGTTAGAAAGCTTGGGAAAAGCTGGGAGGACAAATAAAGCTGTTTGGATTACTAGAATTGTATATTTATTTATTTGTATTATTTCAAATATTCATCTGGAAGCATAACTTTCCTAGAATACCTATTATTTTTAGATATTTATTTATTTTTAAACTGTTGCTCTTTTGCTGGAATAATATATGTACAACTTTTGCTGGAAGTTGTTAGTATATATATTCATCTTTCCTGGGCTGTAGAGAAGTTAACTTTGTTTTTTTTTAATCCTGAAAATTCTGTAAGATAAAAGACAGTATTTCTAATAGTTGGCAAAATCCCTGATGGCTCTTACTGCCCTTGGGAGCCTTTTAAACTGTACTTCTGTAACCCTTGGAAACATCCCCTGCACATGGCTCTGAGGAGGACTGGATAGAAAGTGGAGGAAGATTATGATTCCTGTGCTGTTTGTGGGACATGGCTTTGGGAACTTGCATAGTGGATTTGGGAGTGTGCAGTCATTGATAGATAGGCTGTACAAGAGCCCATGCAAGGCTCTTGATGTACCAAGCAACTTTAACCACTCAAATCCTGAAGAATAAAACACTTTTAGAGTCTAAATGTTTATTTGATTTTTAGACAAGAAAAGCCAAAATAAAGCTTTGAAACTAGGAAGATTTCCAGGAAGAAAAAAAGACCCTCCCTCAAACTAGCTTCCAAAGTTCTCAGCAATATAAAAATCTCATCTCTCCAAAGTGGTTTGGTGAAATTGTGAAACTGTCCGAGAATCTAATGTGTTTGCCCTATGCAAACTGTTTTACAGGTTTCTTTACCTTCAGGGCAATGAGTCAAGGTGGGGTGGGGAGAAGGGTCACCACCGAGTGTGCCTAGTATCTCTCCTGCCTTTCCAACACAATTGAGTGACTTTGAAGTTTATAAGAAAGATGACTTTTTTTTATCCAGTTGTTTTTCTTCAACAGTCCCATTCAAAACCTCTGATAAAATCTTCTGGAAATGCCTCGAGTACTGAGATGGATGTCAAAATGACTGCCAGGATCCAGCATCCCCTGGCCCAAAGGACATGCTTTGTTTTGGAGTGCAGACACAGGAACACAAGCCAGATCTCTGATCTTTCCAAGCAATCACAGGATATAAACTGCTGCCCAAAAGCAAGCCACGGAGAACTTCAGTAACCTCCAGGAAAACTCTGAGGTTAGGGAGACTAGCACAGCCAAAGAAGACATGAGGAGTCTGCTGGCACTGCTGATTGTGACTCTGGCCCTGGCAGCACTCTGTTGTTGCGAGAAAGGTAAGGGGACATCTTCCCAGGAAGGCTCTTTAGATCACTGCTCAACCCTGCAACTTGCCACCAGCCTCCCTTAGTCTGGGAGAGACGGACAGCTTTGGGGGGGAGGAGATGTACCACCAGTCATTGCACAACTTCAGATCTCTGCTAGAGAGACAGAGTCAGGAATGAGAGAGGGCTTGAGAACAGAGACCCATCTTTTGCCAGACACTTTCTTCCACTGGTCAACACCCATTTGCCCCCCACCTCAGTTGCTTATTGAATTGCAGCAGAGAACTTGAACATTTTAATATTTTTAAGAATTAAAGAAGTTTATCATTTGGGTGAAGTGGCAAAGGTATGCTGGATGCTCACTTTTGAGTAAGATGGTTGAACTGCAGGCAGATTTGTGTCAGCCATAGGGAGAGGGATTTTGTGCCTTGCCAGTCCTGGAGTGCTGTAGGATCACAGAGATAGGCACCAAGTCAAGCTTCTCCCTGCAGGTAAATGTGGGATGCGGAGAACTGGAGGGAAATACACCTTCCTATTCCTGTCTAAAAAACAGGGAGTTGTCCCATTGAAATGAGCACATCTCATTTGAAGGTGATTTAGTGATGATGACTGCATGATGAAAAGATAGTAATGTAGTGGCAGCTCTATAATTGATGAAGAGAGAGGGAAGAGGGGAAAGATCTGAAAAATGAGTGCTTTCCTTTTCATCAAAAAATGAAGCTGATCAGGAGAGAGGTCTGTGTTTTCCTGTATTATCTCATTCAGATTTAAATTCTGTTCAGTCCTTGGCATTGATATGTCATGATTCAATTCTGGCAAATATATTTTTTTAATCAGAGTTTTTCTTCTGTCAGTCTCTTTCTTACTTTTTCACTCGAGTATATATCTGCCTTTTTTTTTAGTCATTATTATATTCCAGAATGCTTAATGGCCTAGGAGTAACTCCAAATTTTATTTTATTTTAAATCAAAGGAGTGCATACATTGCTTAAAAATAGAACCACACGTAACAGTTTTCACACAAATCTTTTGTTTTGTTTTTGACTTTTTTTTAGCGTGTTTTTTTTGTTGGTTTTTTTTGTGTTTTTCGTTGTTTGGGTTTGTTTTTTTTTGGTCTCTAGAGTCCTCTTTCTGCCCATAAATACACTTGTGCCAAATACCTGGTAACTTGGGTGGAACTGACACTGTTGAAAAAAGATATGGTGAAATAGTGAAAGAAAAAAAATTGCGAAATAAGGCAGTGTGTGAGACCCCAGGTTAGGAGCTCTTAGAGGATGCTTTTCTTGGATGTTTGTGGGGGAATCAAGGATTAAATTCAGGACTGAACACAGAAATATTGTGTGTAAATTGCTCTTGAGAGGGTTGGTGAGCCAGGTACCTCAACCTCGTGCCAGAAAGCTGTGAGGACAGAGTTGTTGCTAATTTTTTGATCTATTTTTCTTCTCTGTCAATGGCTTGTGATTTCTCCCCAGAAGAAATGTATCTTTCCAAAGATAGAGGAGACACTAAGCTATATTCATGTTCTGTCCAAATTTGGGGTTTGTTCAAATGGTCCCCTAGTTTTAGTTGTCCCTACTCTTATCAAGGGCACGAAGGGTGAAGGAGGAAGGTCTTCCTCCTCCTTCCACAGTGATTATACATCTGTTGTGTCATTTAACCTGTCTCAGAGGAAGTTGAAATTAAACAAATCCAGACATAATGGATTAATTTTACCATTATGGTGGGTGTTAATAAATGGGGTTAATAAAACCCTTTTAGGAGAAACAGACCTAGGTAAGTGGGGGGAGCTGGACCCAGCTAGACGGTGGTAGGATTCGGTTACAGAGTACAGCAAAGGAGGATAGTCTAAATCAGCCCAAGCAGACTCTTTTCTGTCTGTCTGTCTGTCTTCCAGATCCCAAAGAGCCTTCAGGATCTCTCAGCGCTGACAGTGAGTATATCATTGTGACTGGTGCTCAGCTTTATTCTACTGCATCTGCCTCCTTTTTCCCCTTTGACAGGTTCGAGGGCTGAACAAGAACCATGCTGAGTCCCTCTAGCTGTTCTCTTTTTGCTCCCTGAGTGCTGCAGTCCCTGAGGTGCAGCAAACAGGGGGGCTGCCTTTCACACATGAGCAGGTGACACGAGGGAGGTCAGTGTCCCTACAGGCCAGCATTGCTCCGGGTGTGCTAGTGTCATAGCCTGCATCTCCACAACCCCTGAGCAATCCCCTGGCAGCACATGAGTTCTGCAGCTTGTTAGCAGCTGGATGCATCTACCCTCTGTGAAACTGGGTTGTGTTGGTGGAGCAGCATGGCCTGTTACCCTGCTCTGAGCTGGCTTTATAGACAGACCTCTATCCAGAGTGATTGCTGTGTCCCCAGATTGTTGAGAGAGCAGAACCTGCCCATGGCAATGGGCTGTGACATCCCTGCCAAATCCCACAACACGAGGGATTTGCAGTTCCTCTCGTCCGTCACCTGGGACATGGGGATTTGCACACCTTGAGATGTTCACAGTTTTTGCAGCAAGCTGATCCTGGCAGAAATCTGTATGGAAAATCCCTTTCATTCTCCCCTGACTCTCCTTTCTCACATTTTAAAGGATAACATTGCTGCTGAGGAGCATGAAAGCTGGTATTTTTCCAGTGAGCCAATACAAACACAGATTGGGAAAGAGAAAAAAAGAAGTGTAGAGAGTGTTCAGGGAAAGGTGGTGGTTTCTGACAGCTCATTAACTGGCAGTTTCTGTGTAGTCAGTATTTTGATCCAGACTAAACCTCTGCTCACAAGAGAGGGCATACCTCTCACCTCCAAAGAGAAACAAAGTCAAACACTTAATGGGGACAAGGGAAGGAACAAACTTCCCCATCTCCCCGCAGGCAGAGGTCTTAGATTCTTCTTCCCCCCAGTGACAGCAATGATTGACATTCCAGTTTCCATGCTGAAATGAGTATTGGTGTGCAGCTGCCTGTGTTGCTGCTGTGCCAGCATTTGTGCACACCTCTGCTGGTGTGGGATGATCCCATGGAGCGAGGCTGTGCTGTGATGACCCTGGATGGGGATGGGGAATGAAGTGCCTCAACCTAGTGTTTGTGGGGTGCTTCACAGCACCATAGTGTTTGCACAACCACGAATCAAGGCAGCCAACAAGCAAAAAGTAACGGTGTGTTAGTGTAGAGCAGGGGCAAATGCTGTCATGGCTGAGAGGCCCCTCGTGTTCTCCAGGTCCTGAACACTGGGATTTGTGTACTTCTCCCTGGGTGTATTTCTCCCTGTGTGATGTTTACTGTCGCTATTTTGTACTCTTTATCTTTCGTGGAACCCTGTACATGTGAGCATTGGTGTTTCTGTCTGTTGCTCATGGCTTATTGGAAGCATTTTAAGGTCTGGTTGTTAGTATCCCATATTATTCTCAGTTGAATCACAACATAGAAAGAAAGCCAACACTCTGAAGTTAAGCAGGCCAGGGAGAGAGGGTGCCATTGTCTTTTCTCCTTATTCATATTTTATGCCTTCTGCACATTTGCTGTGGATTCAGATCATGCTGTATGATAAGGGAATTGAGTTTATGACAGAAAAAGGCCTTGCCCCATGGAGATGTGAAGGCTGCAGCGAGGAGAGAGCCCAGCTGTTGGGCTTTGAGCAGATAGTGGGGTGGGGAGAGATGAACAGGCCATTAGAATGGTTTGTAGCAGTCATCTGCTTGTGAAGAGAGCAGGCTTTCCATTTTCAGAGGTTAGACTGGTCTTTGTGTTTCATAGACCACGGCCCTGCATCTCTAACCTCCAGTGTTCTCTCTTGGTAGGCATCAAGATTAAAAAAGAAGTTGCCAATGCCTTTGTGAAGAGGCAGAAGAGATCCAGCCTCTATGAACGGTAATGACTCAGGAGTCAGGCTGAGTGCTGGACTCTGTCCCTGTTCTGAAGAGGGGGCGGGAAGGCAATAGGACAGTACAAGGTATTATTTTGTAGTACATCTATGTTATTACCTCCACGCTTTGGAGGAAAAAGGCTGTAGGAGACACTCAGTGATGGATAAATGGTTCTTTTTTCATTAATATCCTTTGGAGAGCTCATAGCTGGACTCCAGTATTCCTCCCAGGGAGAAAGACTGTGCTAGCTGTCTGGGCTATCCATGGGGACAGAAGGATACAAGTTAGAAGCTGCTCTAATGTACAGGGTCATCAGAACCAATTTCCAGGAAAATGAGAATCACAGAAGCTTGGTCATCGCCTCTGGCTTCCTACAAAGGAAGCAGAGCTCTGTTGCAGGAATAAGGCTGTTCTTTCTGAAGCTGTAGATCATACATCTACTTTTGCAGAAATCCCAGACATAAAGATTTGGAGAAATACTAGCTATTTGAAAAATTTGAGGTAATGCAAGAGTGTTCTTCATGTATTTCCTGGAAGGGTTTGTTAAGCTACTCTCTCGTGTGGGCCTTTGGAAAAAGGATTTTTTATTCAATCCATCTTTGGACTGGAAGGGTAATGCTGTTTTTAGACAATAGAAGATTGGGAGGCCCCATCTGTAGAGGGAAGGATCACAGTATTGTAGCAGAGGAACGGGCTGATGGTGAAACCTACAGTGATTAAAATCAAGATGAAACTCAGTAACAGCAGCTGTACTGTCTGTACTGACAACCCCCTTACAAGTGGGGCATTGTAAAAGTAGCTTCTTCTCTAAGCATTAATCAGGAAGGACAGAGGTAGACAGACATCCTGGTGTATTATTTGATAATGAGATAAGGTTGATCCAGAAATATGAATTCGACAACATGCAATGGGGTATTTCTAATACAGAAATAAAGTAAAAATTCATGAGGGAGTGGTGGGACTTCTGTGATGTTGTGTACAGTCTTCAGAAAAGATTAATCAAATCTGGAAGAGGAGCTAAGAAGGGCATCCAGAGCTGAGACTAAAAGATTTGGGCATGCTTAACTGGCAAAAAAAAAATAAAAATTAGCTGCATGGGCCTAGTGTTGTTGTCTACAACAGAAGTGAGGATGATGAGAGAAAAGTGATTAAGCTAAAAGACAATAATAGCTAGTGGGAAAGTAAGTAGAAACTGAACAAAAATAAATGCAATCAGGAAATAAAAAATAAATATGTAATAAAAATAAATAATACTAACAACAAAAAATATTCCTGAGTAGTTGGGGAATGGGAATGAAGGTAAAGAAACCCCTCAAATCCTAACTGCTTCTGTGGTCTCCTTTGCTGATAAAACTTGCAGAGCAATTGCTTTAAGCTGGGTTCAATCTCTTTTTTTTTTCCCCAGCATTGATTAAGTAGCCTGTTTGTACGTACGTAGATATTTAACTCAGCATGAGCAATCCCCTGTTGGGGTACCCTGGAGAATCACTCCTTTCATGTCAGTGTCAGGTGTGTGAACCATTTCCAATTGCATTGACCGAATCTGCAGAATGGTATCTCTGTCTTTGTCTACTCCAGGTACTTCGAGTATTATAAAAATCCAATGGAGCAGATGCATGAGCGCTGTGAAAACTATCCCCCCTGTGACTATCTCTCTGACCAAATAGGATTTTCCTTGGCCTACAACCGTTTCTTTGGGAGATACTAAGGATTGGAAGGTCTCTTCATTTGTTTGGCTTGGAACTCTCTGAGCCCCACAAGAGAAAGAAGGTTGTGGGTGGAAGGAGGGAAGGGAAATATCTAAACTGGCATCTACTTCCATTGTCTCCTTAACCAGCTGGAATGCAAGGCAGTAATTATCCTACTTGTTGAGCTTACATTAGCTTTCTTCCTTTCATCAAAAAAAGTCT